GCCGGCCTCAGACCTGGAGCGTGGTTGTCTTCGCCGGGCTGCACGGGAAAAACACTTTCCGGGGTCCCCCGTCCGCAGACGCTGTTGCTGCTGACAGGAGCGGGGGCTTGTCCGCTTCGGCCTGGGCGCGAGCGCTCCCGGGAGCCGCAGCCCCTGCCCGGGAAGGCGGCGCTTCAAAGGCGGCTGCTGGCGTCGCGGTGCCGAGGCGGCGCCTGGAAGCCCTCTTGCGAGGGTGATGCTGGAGCGCGTTTCCCACTTCCTCATTTCCGTGTCTCACCGAGTTTTCCGGAATTTGTTGTAGTACCCACTCCTTACACGTGTGTATTTGTGTTTTTACCCGCGAGGTAGTATGTTTGATCGCTTTTTTCACAGCCTTGTTCATGTGGACCACAGGCTTCTGTTTAGGGTGACCTGCGTGCATCCCCGCAGGCTGCTGAAAGATGAGCGCAGTGACTGGAAGGGGGTTGAGAGTAGGGTGGGCAGGTGACGAAGGTGGGAGGAAAGTGGGTGCTTGAAAATTTAAAAGGATTTATACAGATGTTTGTAATGGTTGCACTGAATAAAAGCATAGATAAGAGGAATGTAGAATTAAAACGAATTGATAAGAGAACTTTTGGAAGTGAATATTATTAAGGTTTTAAACTGATGTTATTGAGAAAGAAGGTGGTGTCCTAGGTAGGGTCTGGCTTATGAAGTGGTTGAAGCCCATACAAGAACAGTACTTTTTTTTTTTTTCTGGTACCAGGGATCGAACTCAGGACCTTGTGCTTGCCAGGCAGGAGCTAAAGCCACTGAGCTATCTCCCCAGCCCAAGAACAGTGATTTTATATGTATGTACTTAGTATAGAATCTGAGAACCAAAGGGTCTCAGCTTAGGGAAAAGGTAAAGGCTAATTTTAAGTGTTCCACATACAGGGAATTTTTGGAATGAAAAGTAGTCTGTTAGATAAACTTTGCCACTGGCTAAGGGTTAGTATAATTTAGTAACTTAGTATATAAAAGTAAACTTTATTTTCATTTGGATCTTATAGGGGAGTGGGGGTGGTGAACCTATGGCACACTCCTTACTTGCTTTTCTTTTAAGACAGAAGATGTTAATGTAGCTTTTTCCCCCTAAACTATAGCCTCAGTATTCAGGTTTCATTGCATTGTTGGAACTTTGCAATACATAAAGGTTTGGTTTGCAGTTTTGACACATGTCTCTAAAAAGTTTACCATCTGTTTTGGTAATAAATTTTGTGTTCACAAATTCTAATATATTCAGTAGTCCTAGATCTGAAAACAAGTTTGTTTCAAATGGTCTTAGGGTGGTAGATCCCCAGAAAAATGTTAATTAATGACTGTGTGGGGACAAAGTGTATGAGATCTTTTTTATGAAGCCTATTTTGTGCTCTGATAGCTAGCCTTGTTATTTTACTTCCCAACACGAAATTGAATCTATAGGAAAGTTTAATGAAGAAGTGGTCCTAAGACTGACAACATTCTGTGTGTATTACATCTTACAGGAAAACATTTAAGAACAATAAATTAGTGTCTATTTTGGATAATTTGAATAAACATATTCCTGTCGTAAGGAATAGACAGCTAGCTAATTTGCTGTCTTGTATATCGGAGACAGTTTTTGAAAGCTTGAAATGTTTTCTGCAGAAGGCAGTAAAGCAGAAAGTAGTGAAGCAGCAGCAAGCTAACACAGCAGCCCTCTTTCTGTCCTTTGTATTTCTACCCAGGGTTCACATCCTTATGGCAGGTAGCGCTCACATCAGGGTAGGCCTTCCACTCTGAACTATGCCAAACCAGTCAGTGGACTAATTTAGTAATCACACACCCTTGATTCCAGCATTATACACTTAATCCCAGTATGACTCACAGTAGACACAGCCACTTCAGAGAAGCCCCACATATGATCACTTTTGGGAGCTCGTCTAGATACAAACATCTAAATAAATGCTAATTGTATTGGTTTGAATAGCTGCATGTTTTCTTCTTTAATCTTGGTGATGGGTATTGTGATAGATTGTGTTACTGCTTAAAATATTCACTACATTTCCCCGATACATGATTATATGTCTGATCGCTGACCAGTGACATGGGAGTGGAAATGATGTAGCACTCTAGGCTGAAGTTTTAAAAGCTGTTCCATACTTTGCTATATTCCTTTTCATGCTGTTGTAAGATGTTCATATCCCAGGTGGGTCTGATATTTCAGCTCAGATTCTGGAAATAAAGACCACATGGAGCAAAACAGAAATTGATTCTTCTAAAATAAATGAAATAAATCATACCTGCATGCGCAAACAGAGTATTGTCTCAACTATGAGAACGTATAAGAGAAAAATGGAATGTGAATGGTACAATAGATATTGGGAAAAGGGAATGAACTTATTCCAAAAGGAAAGAGTTACTGAGCTGAGAAGGACAGGAGAAGGAGTGGGGAAAAGAGACTTATCTATGTATGTAAGCATGATGGTTTAGACAACTGTACTGTAGATTTCTGCTGGTCTATGGAAAGAAGCAGTTAATGTTTAATTTGTTTTGTCTCCTTTTTTCAATTATTTGTACTTTTTCTCTTCTGAATTTCTTATACATTTCTTTCATTTTTTTCTTTCTTCAAATTTTACATGTATATATCTGGTAACATGAATAACTGGTTGGAAGAAAACGCTGTGTATTACAACAAATACTGTGAAATTCATATTACTTTAAAGTGAAATTCTGTATCACTTGTAAATTTTTCTATTTTAATTCTAATTTGTACTCTAAAAATAAAATTAAATATATCAAATATAAATTAAGTGAAAAACTTTGGTTGCAAGTGACAGAGATTGTTAGGTACTTCTGTATAACAACCTATATACTATTTATACATTTGGAAGTGAGATTTTCTAACATAGACTGTTATGTCGGTATTGAAGTCACAAGACTTTAGAAACACATTTATATACTACATAGCATCCAGCATAATGGTTTTTTTTTTTTAAGAAAATATTTTTATTGGTACATGTTTGTAACACATGAGGATCAAGCATAATGGTTTGCACATAGCAGTTCAATGCTTATCATATAGATAAGTAAATACATATTTAGAGATGATTGTTTGTGAGAGTAAGCAATAAACCAGAGATAGTATTTTCTATTAGTTGCCTTATCACTGCAAATCAGATAGGCACTGGCTCACATAAATTTGAATAAAAAGTATCCATAGTACATATTTTTCCTATTTATTTGTAGTGGTTTCAGTTTAGGTTATTCATCTTGGACTCTCTTCACTTCTGGATTTCAGTTGTCTTATGAATGTACTTTATACTCATACATGTTGACAAATCTCCCTACTCTTCTTTGCTGTTTAGACTTTAAAAAGCAAGATGTCCTCTCTTCAAGTCAGTTTATTTGGCAGAGGATGTCCACTGGAATATGAAAGGGCCTTTGGAAGTAAAGTGACTTCAGCTGAAGTTTTCAATAAACATGGAGCATCATGGAGAGAGGTGAAGCAACTTGGCTCCTGTGCACAGCCCGTTAGAGTGGCCTGTTTGGGGATTGTACCAAAAGAGACCATTTAAAATAGAAAAGCTTCTAAAATTTATCATAAGTAGAAATTGATTATCATTTCTTAAAAAATGTATTTAGCACAGGGTCTGCGGGGTCTTAAAATGTATTTAGTACAGGGTCTATAGGGCCTTACTACACAGATTGGACTCGTAGTGATCCTTCTGTTTTCAGCCTCCCAAGCGCTGGGATTACAGGTGTGCCCCACCACACCCAGTCTCAATTACAGTCTCAGCACTCCCCCGGTGATTGACTGCAGTCCCTGCATCAGCCTAAGAAGGATTTTAATCTGGTTAGCTATCTGGCCAGCCCTTTGATTATCATTTATATGAAACTTATTCTGAGCACAAATTAATAATAGTAGTTAGCATTTATTTTTATCACTATATTAGTGTGTCGAGGAACTATGACTAGACAGCTTGTAGCATCATTTTTCAGATGAGGAAACAACAGGAATGAAATGACTGAAGTTTACATTGCTAGAAAGTAGATTTAATCATATTCATTTTAATCATATTCATATTCATAGATGAATATGTTGACTTTTGTAATGAGGAATATCACTTCCAATAATTGTAAATTGAAACCTCAGTGTTCCTTTTTTCTTGCCTCTTAGCAAGATATATTATTTTGTCAAAAAACAGCTTTTACTTTATTTCTTGTATATAGGGAGAAGAATTAATAATGCGGAGGGTTAAGCTAAGGATATTTTCTTAAGTTTTTAATAACTTTTTATAGGTTACTGGACTACACTTTTTACCCTCTGAAACAAAAACACACATAACACATACATTAAATGAGGTGTACTGAACATATGTTTTTCTTCTTCTAGTGATCATTAGGAAAAAGTTACTATATTTACTTCCCTTCAGAAATTATCAAGTAGGGGCTGGGGAGATGGCTCAGTGGAATAAGCGCTTCCCTGGTAAGCGCAAGGGCCTGAGTTCAATCCCTGGTTCCGGGAAAAAAAAAAAAAAATTATCAAGTATTTGTTATATACCTTCTGAGTTCCTGAGTCTACTGTTTTGATTTGTTTGAGGAACCTTGAAGGAGCTGCTTCCCTCGCCCTTTTTCTATTTTTTTATTTTGAGAAAGAGTCTCATTAAGGTTGGGCTCAAATAGAAGATCCTGCTGACTTCTGC